TTGATGTGGCATTGTCTACGGTGCCTTTCAAAGGCAAAATATAGTTTCCTCGTTTGTCTCTTTTAATTTCGTCTTTTTTGCTGTTGCTTTGTCTGAGCTATCGATTGTAACTCTACCTTTTGTACTTCAGTGCAAGCAGAAGAGATTTTGCTTCAGCCCCTTATTTGAACTCTGTGTGCGTATTTCTGAAGCGTGTTCTTTATCAGCAGTGTACTGTTGGATTCAGCTGTCCGATCCATTTTGCTCTCCTCTTCCGTTTTATGGATGAGTTCGTCCCATTCAGATTCACCATTAGGATTATTAATTATTTACTTCCCTCTATCCTAGTCTTTTATACTTTTCCTTCTGTTTTTTTTTCCTGGCCCCTCTTTCTTTGTTTTGCTAAAAACTAATCTCTCCTTAATCTGCCCTCCTTCTTGCTGCCCCCTTTCTGCTTTCGTCTTTCCGTCCTGTTTACTTGTTGAGTGAACTGTATTTCTGTGCCTAGGTAAGTGTGTATTCTCCTTTCCTTGGACCAGTTCAGATGAGAGTGAGGTTCAAGCATCACCCATTCCCCCCTCCTCTTCTTCCTCGTTTGTTCTAAGCTTCTATTTGTGTGCCCCAGTTAAAGTGAGATGATTTTCCCCGTTCTTCTGCCATCTTCCTCCCCACACTCCTCCACCCACTCACCCAGGGGGACAGAACCGTTCCCAGGCCCTTTGTCTAATGAGACTCCTTCTGTGACTCCTGATGGAGCTCTGAAATGATACATGTCAGGGGATACGAGTTAGAATGTAAACCATTTATCCCTCTTTAGTTCCTAATGATTGCCCACTCGCCTTTACCTTTTTTGGTTTCTCTTGACTCCTGTGCTTGTATTCCACAGAGTCTGTTTGTCTCTGATAGTTTCGTCAGGGACACGTGGAAGCCCTTGGTTCCATTAATGGTCCATTTTTTCCCTGTCGGTTTGCGCTCAGTTTTTTTCTCGGCAGGTTGTTCTTGGTTGAAAGCCCAAGTCTTTTGCCTTCTGGGACATCGTATTCCAAGCTCCCTGTTGCTTCATGGCACCGGCTGCTAAAGCGTGTGTGGTCCCGGCTCCTCAGTGCCTGAATTCTTCCTTTCTGGATGCTTCTGGTGTTCTTTTCTTTGACCTGCAGCCTGAGTCTCGGCTCCAAGGTTCCTGGGAGTTTCCAGCTGGGGGCTTGTTTCAGGACGCGATGAGTGTATTCCTTCTGTCTCTACTGTGTCCTTCATCTCCAGAGGTCTGGGCAGCTTTCTTTTAAGATGTCTTGTCATGCGATGTCAGGGCTCCTTTTTTGGTCCGGGTGTTCAGGTGTCCACTGGCTCTTAAAGGCTGTTGGTTTTGCTCTGAGAGACCTTGTGTTTTCTCCTCCTCCTCTGTTGACTTGGGCTTTGTTTTTGTTTTGCTTTGTCTTGTTTTTCTGAAGCAGTCAGACTGAGTGACTTGCCCAGGGCCACACAACTAAGGAGTGTCTGAGGTCAGATTTGCACTCAGGTCCTCCTGACTCTGGGGCTGGTGCTCTGTCCACTGGGCCACCTAGCTGCCCTTCTTTTGACTTCGTTTTCACTTTTCTTGTTGTCTTATTGAGCTTTTGCTTGGTCAGGTCTAATTTTCAGGGAGTTATTTTCTTCAGTAAGTTTTTTTAACTCTTGTTAAAAGCTATTAATTCTCTTTCCACAGTGCTCATTTCATTCTGTTTTGTTTCTCTAGCCCACTCATGTGTTCTTCAAAATCTTTTTTTTTTCTCTTTCTAACTTTTGCTCCCTTGTTCCAGGAATTCTAGTTAGACGTGTGCCCATGGTGTGTTTTTCTTCAAGGCTTTGCTTGTAGATCTGTTAGAGTTCTCTTCTTCTGGGTGTGTGTCTTCACCTTCCTCCTCACCATCATAGTTCTTGATGGTGGGTTTCTTTTTTATTTGCTCATTCTTCTGGCCTTCACCTTGGCTTTGGACTTCATGTAGGGGCTGGGCTCTGCCAGGGAGTGTGTGAGCTGAGGTTTTGTCCTCTTGGGTCCTAAAGTTTTGAGTATTGTGTTGTTTCAGGATTGCAGACAGTCCAGCTGGGCACCTGTGAGCTTTCGGTGTTCCCAGAGTGGTCCAATCCAGGGCAAAGTCTGCTTGCTGCCCCTGGTCTGAGCTCAGCAAGGGGCTGGGATGCTGCTGGACCCTGCCCCGAACGTCCAGAGCTCCCCTTGCTCTGGGCTCCCTGCCTTGGCCGTTCCCCTGTAGGCTTCAGACACGGTTGGGCACCAGAGATATACCCTTGCTCTTGGCTCCTTCCATCCCTCACTGTGGACACAGCCCAGGGCCCGAGCCGGCTCGTCAGCTGGGAATGCCACACCTAGCCTCAGGTCCCCTCCATAGTGTGCCCCAAAGTGAAGCTCCCCTTGTGACCCCCCAGAATTGAGTAAAAGGAACTGGGCACCAGAGTGTATGTGATGGTGTGGGCGAGCCCCTCCTTCTTCAGCACCCCTGTTCAGCCTCTATCCCCTTCCTCCCCACTTTAGAGGTGAGAAAGCTGAGAGTCAGGGAATGACTTCCCAAGTCCCCCAAGAGAGTGAGGAGCGGAGCCAGGATTCGAACCCAGGACCCCTGACTCTCCATCCAGTGCCCTGTGCTTCCTTTCTTATTAGTACAAGTGCATTCAGAGATGGGCATTTTGTGGGAGGGGAGGCTCTCTCCCTCATTGCCAGAGGTGGAGGCCTAGATGTACCGTGACCCTCACCTTCAGCCTCCTGGACAGTGCTGGTGACCCTCGCCCTCTGCCTCTTGGACAATCCTGCTCTGAAATCGGGCTTTGCTCTGGGCCGATACAGAGCCCTAGGGTTTCTTGGCCCCTCCCCCCCAGTAGAGCAGGGCTTGCTCTTCCCCTTTTTCTGTGTCAGCCAGTGCCCCTGGGGCAGTCCAGTGAAAGGCCTTCTCAGAATCATGTTTTTAAATGTACAAAAGAAAGCACACAGAAGTGTAGAGGAAACCAGTTATGCTGAAATATAATGCAGACTCCCCTGCTTAGCTGTCCCACTCCCAGCCCCACCCAGGGCCTAGCTCCCTCCCCAGATTCTTCCAGTTCTTCTCACCCCAGACACCCAGATGAGGTCATGGGTGTGCCTGGTTTTGTGGGAGGCTCCCTGCAGCCAGCCCGATGACCTCCCTGCCTCCCCACTCCTCTGGGGTTTGCTGGTAGTACCCGAGGCTGCATCCAGGGTGGCAGTGCTCCTATCCTCCCCTTCTGATCTAGGGCTCGAAGGACTCTTGATGTCACTTGGTCCAGCATCCTTCTTTTAGAGAAGAGAAAACTGAGGCCCATAGAGGGAATCACCTGTGTGATTTGAACTCGGATCCCAAGACTCTGGGTTGAGTTCCTCTCTACCTGTCTTCAGAGGAGCCATGACCCTGAGGGTCTGGCCGAGCTCTGGAGGGGAGAGGGGCCCCTCTGGCTTGCCATGCAGCCCTCCCCTGACTGGTGATAGATAGAGCCCGAGGTGACCGCCAGTTAAGAATGAGAATGGGAACGTTGGGGGGCATGATGGGGAGAACCAGGAGGAAAGTGACCTTTGTGTAGAAAGGTCACCTTGTCCCCTGAGCTCCTTCCTTTGGACTGGCCAGCCCCAGCTGTGGGGGAGGACAGCAGGGCAGGCCTACTTTGGACCCTCAGGCCAGAGGTCAGAGAGCATCCCAGACCCTCTGGGACATCTCAGATTTCAGACTGGTCCTTTCATCTTTTTCAAGCCCCTGGGGAAGAGTCCTGTGCTTCTCCCGAGGGCTCCAAGCAGGATGGGCTTGCTCCTAAGCTGAGGGGAGCTAAGGCCCCTCAGGGACGTCCCCAAGGCTCTTCAGGGGAGCCCATGGGCTTGGCACCTATGGGTGCTGTCCTCATGGGTCAGCATGACCGTTGCTCCCCCTCATTCATCCCTGCCTTTGGTTGACCCATTACCAGGCCCTCGCTGTGTCCCTCCCAGGCCTTAGCAGTTCTGTCTGGCCCAGGGATCTATGAGGCATTTAACATAACCCCAGAGGGTCTTCTGAAGGCCACAGGCAGTTCCTGGGCAAAACTCCCTTCTGGACTCCCTGTGTCTCTGGCCACAGTGACTGCTGAGATGAATTTAGGGTTAGGGTTAGGCCTGTGGACAGAACACACTCCTGGACTGGCCCCCATTACCCCAGGGTAGCGTCTGTGTGGGAGGTGGGCTCAGCACCTGCAGGAGCAGAAGGAGGATCTGCCATCCCTTCCCCCCAGGGCTGGATGCCAGGGCAAGAGGCCTTCCTCTTCTCAAGGGTCCTGGCCCTGGCGGTCTCTGCCTGGAGCTGGGACGCTGGGAGATGGTGCCTCTCAGCAGGAGCTGGGAAGTCAAAGCCGAACTTGGAGGGGCCTGGAACAGAGCAGGGCCCAGGCCTGGGTCATCCTTGCTGACCAGCTAGGAGGTTATCCCCCCTCCCTTTTACAAGTGGGGAAACCAAAGCCCCAAAAGGTGATGTGCTGTGGTCATAGTACCTACATCCTCCCATTTGAGCCTCAGAATAACGCTGGGAAGCAAGCCCTAGACATGGTCTTATCCCCATTTTCCAGAGGAGGAAGCCGGGGCTCATGAGAGGTCAAAGGACTCGGCCAGATTCACACAGCTAGGAAGTGCCTGAGGTCCTCTGGACTGCCACCCCTGCAGTTTCCCCAAAAAGGAACCTCCCAAGATCCTTTCTTCCTCCCATAATAAGTTTTCCATAAAGACCATCTAAAACCCCATTTTATAGAGAAATAAACTGAGTCCCACGCAGGCAGGCCTGCTCGCCCAGTCCCACAGCTAGTCATTCGCAGCCAGATTCTCTAACCCCTGAGCCAGCCGCCCTCCCTGGTCCATGCCATGGGGCAGGGTGGCGGCTGATGTGTGTCTTGGTGGTTGCGCTAAGGTGGACAGAGCGCCCTCGGTGGCATTGCCTGACCCTGGGTGGAGGGGAGGCCTTCACCAGGTCCCAGGTGATCTCAAAGGGACATTGTTTTCTTTGCAGATTCTGAGGGAGCTGAAGGCCCTGGTGTGGATTTTCCTGGTGCAGAACGTCCCTGAAGTGGCTTACCTCTTCTATCTCCTCTACACGGTGAGGGGGCTGCGGGCAGAGGGGAGGACAAAAGTCATCCATGCGCTGTGCCATTGGAGGGCAGTCTGGCACCTGAAATGCTCCGTGGCACTCTCTCCTCACAGCCCGGCTTGCAGGCCTTTCTGCGGCCCAGCCGGCCAGGCCCCCTGAGCTGTGAGGGGCCAGGGAATCTTTGCCTCACCGTCCCTCGGGCCAGGGCCGGGTCAGGCTGACTCTGTTCCCATCAGCTTAGCTCAGCCGTCTCCGGGATGCTGCCAGCAGTCAGGGGGACCCTTCTGCCCTAGGAGGTCAGGGTCTAGCCCTGGACTGAGCTGTGTGGCTTTGCTCTCTCCTCTGTCTCCATTAGCCAGACTGGAGAAGAGCCATTGTTTTGGCTGGAGCTGGCCGTGGCCGAGAGAGACGTGTTCTCCCTGTTGTAGCAATGCTGAGGCAGAGGGTCTCGCTGACCCTTTGCAGGCCTGGGACTCCCCAGGAGAGGGCTGGGGTGAAGGGCACATACCCTGGGCTTCCTGAGGTGGTGGAGAATGGTGCCAGATGCCAGGGACGCTGCCTCGGGGAGCCCCCATGAGTCCACCCCAGATATGTACAGGTGCCCTGGTCCTCTTGGATGGGATCTCCAGCTCCTGCCAGGTTTGATTGTGTGGGGTTTTTTTTTGGGGGGGGGCAATGGGGTTAAGTGACTTGCCCAGGGTCACATAACTAGTAAGTGTTATATGCCTAAGACCAGACTTGAACTCAGGTCCTCCCAACTTCAGGGTCAGTGCTCTATCCACTGCACCACCTTGCTGCCTCAAGGTTTGGTTGTTAATAGACAGGAAGCCATTGATCCACATGGGTGGGTCTTGTATTGTGTGATTCTTGGAAGTTCTGAATTGCTTCCGTGGGTTTTCAGCGGACTCGTGAAGGTTTTCCAGGTAGACCACAGTATACCTGACTCACAGCAGTGGTTTTGCTTTTCCCTGGCCTCACGTCATGATCCCTCAGTCTTTCAGCATTTCAAGGACCATGGTCACCATTAAATAGCCAGCATCACTTCACACAGGGCTGGTCACAGAGCAGGTGTATAACAAACATGGCTGGCAGTGGGCGACCTTGCTTTACTCCTGCTGTTAGTGGAAAGGCCTCTCACTTTTCTTCATTACACGTGATTTTTGCTGTTGGTATTAGAGACATGTATACAGTGTTAAGGGAAGGTCCTTTTATTCCTATGTTTTCTAGTTGTTTTTTCAAACAGAAACAAGTATTGGATTTTATCAAAAGCCTTTTCGGCACCTACAGATATCTTTTGGGTTTATTGTTTTTGTTATTAACGTGGTTGATGATGTTTTTAGTTTTCCTTATACTGAACCAGCCAGCAGGGCAAGGCTGGGGGCACAAGATGCAGCGGGGGCCTGGGGCTTCAATCCTCTAGCTTCGTGTGCTCCACTTTTCAGTTCCTGCCTCACAGGGGCCGCCCCGAGCAGAAAGGAGATGCTTGAGCAGCTCTGTCTCACCCTCCTCCAAGCATCTAGCATGGCTTAGGTAGCCAGGGCGGCCAGGTGCAGGTTGAGAAAACGGGAGTTCCAGGTCCCTGGGAGGGCAGTGAGCTTCCTCTTCAGAGAGTATGCAAATCATGTTCAGTATGTATTGATTCATTAAGGAGAGGGAGAGGGAGAGAGCCAGGAAGGAACAGGCCAGCCACTCAGCTAAGATCCCACCTACTTCCCAGGAGCAAAATGCAGCTGGGCCAGGCCTAACCAAAAGGCTGCTGACAGCCACCAGCGGACCGGCCCTGGGACTGGCCACGCTCCAGTCTGACCTTGGACTCCAGGTGCCGATTTTGTTTCTTCAGTTGGGAGAAGCAGCAGCTTGGAGCCCGAGCTCTGGCCAGAGTGACTGGTGGCTGACTTGATCCCATCAGCTCCGGCTCCAGGACGGCTGTAGTCATTTCTCTGTCTCGGTGAGAAAGTGATTCATTTCACCTGAACATTAAGAGCCCACTCTGCTCAAGGCCCTGGGGTGGAACAACATGGGCACGGCCACGTGGCAGAGGGGCACGGGGGGAAGGATGGCAAAAGGAGAGTCAGACTGAGGACTCCGGGAACATGGGGAAGGGAAGGAAGCTTCCATGTGGGACTGGGGCCTCGGAGTGAATAACAGAGCCAGCGAAAGGACTCCAGTGCAGCCAGGGGGACAGCCTGGGCCAGACGAGGACCAGTCTGGCTTGGGTACAAAGTGTGGTGTCACAGAGAGGGGACTGCAGATTGGTCCCCAGGAGCCTTCTCAGATAATTACCTCTGAATGATTATAGCTAGCACTGATACACCAACTGTTACACTTGCAGAGTGGTTACATAGGGGGTCTCATCTGAGCCTTACAAACCCCGGAAACTGAAGATGAGCCAGGCTAGATGACTTGCCCAGGGTCACAGAGCTAACAAGTGTCTTCCTGACACCCCTCTAGTACTATGTACTCTGTTGCCTTGCTGCCTCAAGACGCAGAGGGAGAAAAGTGTGGAGGCAGGTCGGTCATTCGTAAGAAAGGCTGATGGGAGATCAGGGTGGAGAGCCAGCCCCGGGCCTGGAAGGCCTGTATTCCTGGCCTGTCTCTGGCAGCTCCCCAGGAGCACGAGCACGGGAGGTGCTGCCCCGATGGGCCACGGGCCCTGTTCTTCTCCTGCCCTGGCTTGTCCCACCCTCCCATTTTACAGATGAGGAAACTGAGTCTCAGAGAAGTGGGGGCTTGTTCAAGGTCACACAGGAAGTGAGCTGGTCTAAGTTCTCAGGAATAAAACGTTGACCAAAAGAAGAGACTAGCCCATTGAGAGAGGATTTCTAGAGGTCACTGAGGAAAGAGAGAGCATAAGCTGTTCCTGTTCGGAAGTTCCTCGAAGGAAGGGGCTGGTTCCTTTTGTGTCCTGGTGTGTCTTAAAACACGCTCATTGGATTATTGAATGGTGTGGTCAGAAAGGGATGCGCAGATGGTAGGGGGAAGCAGCTGGTCTGCCCCCAGTGAGAGGGGAAGAGCCGAGTCCTGAGGACAACCCAACCATCTTTTCCCACATGTGTGTGTGTGTGTGTGTGTGTGTGCACGCACACATGCATGCATGTGGCTGGGTGCTCACACATGCCTAGCCTGGTTCCCTGGCCTGACCACAACATTTCCTGAAGCCCACCTGGGGTTTCCTGGGAAGAAGTGGCCATCCTAAAGCCAGATCACGCAGGTCCAAGGGCAGGCCCCTCCCCTTCCTGGCTGCCCCTGGCAAGAAGGCCGGACCAGAGCTGGGGAGCAGCACGTGGCATGGCTGTGATGTGAGATCTGTCAGTTCGGATGGGTGGGGGGTCAAGGCAGGCCTGGGATGGGCACGGCTGCTCCTGAGAAAGGAAGGGGAAGGGGCCCCGCGTCCTGGGGAGCCCATCCCAAGGTGCTGAACGAGATGTGCTCGTCTTTTCAGATAAGCAGAGCGTGGGGCCAGGGCAGCTCCTACACTGGAGAGGCGGCCGCCATCGTGGGCTCCTGCATCTCGGTAGCCATCAAGTCTGTCTTGCTTTGGGCCCTGGTCCACGTGTATCGAAGCTTTGGCCAGGGTCTGAGAGAGAGAAGTGAGTGGATCCTTGCTGCCCCCAAACCCCTACCCTGTCACTGGGTCACTGGATCATAGGACCTTAGAGGATACCCCCCCACACTCACACCCATTTTACAGATGAGGAAACTGAGGCCCAGGAAGGTAAAGGGCCTTGCCCAGGGTCCCATAGATGTTAATGGCCAGGCTGGGATTCAAGCCCAGGTCCTTTGATTTCAAACCCAATAGGAGGCCACAGAGGGTCATCGCTGGGGCATGAGCCCAGACCCTTCCCCATGCTTGAGGCCCGGGCAGCCGTGCCCACTCTGTGCCCATGCTGGGCAGCCAAAGGTGGAAGCTCACTCCGCTCTAACTAGGGAAGAGAGCCCCTCTTCCTGCTCTCCCATGGGCATTGTCTGGCTTAATCTGGACCCTGGGCTGACCCAGGTCTCTTGTGTTGCAGCCCAGAAAACCTACTTCTTTTCCCTGGTACTGTTTCCTCCTCTCCCCCTGCCCCAGCCCAAGGAGCAGAGAGTGGAGGGGCAGAGTGGTGCCTGGTCAAGGGCAGGAGATAAAGCTGCAGCGCCGGTCAGGTGGAGGCTGTGACCTCCACTGATTGCAGAGCCTCCCTGTCCCCTCCCCCTCTGTCTGCCCTGCTCTCCCGTCTCTGTCTCTGCCTCCCCACCGCCATCCCCTTTTCTCCACTACCTACCGTAAATTCTAAACCCCGCCCCCGGAGCCTTTCAGGAGAGTTTTCTGCCTCCTGCTCCCAGTTCAGTGAGCAGAGAATCTCAGGATGTCACTGTGGAAAGGGACCACCATTCCCACCCCCTAGACTTTATAGATAGTGTGGAGTCCGAGGCCAGAAAAGGATTCTGGAGCTAGAAAGTCCCTGAAAGGCCACAGAGTCCAGGCCCCCAGAGGGGAAGTCACCTGTCTGTTCAGTGGTACAGCACAGACTTGAACTCAGGGCCTTGTACTTTCCACTGATGTGCAGCAGGAGTGTTCTGCAGCCAGCTTCTCCGACAGTCGGCCCAGGACTTTGTCCCCTGTGCCGCCCTGCGTCTGTGAGTGGACTCCCAGCATATTTTTGTGGGGGTCTGTTCCCACCCCCCCAATGCATCTGCATTCTGGTCCCAGATCCTAACCCGACCCACTGTTCTAGGTCCCCTCTTTGGAACTGCCTGCAGCAATCTCTCCTGAACTCTAGCTGTTGTTTGGGGCTGGGGTCTCTACTCTGGCCCGTCCCTGCCCTCCAGTACAGCCTCACATTTGTCCCCCCAGTGAATGGGTCCCATCAGCCATGAAAGGCTCCCCCCCCCCCGTAGACTAGGCCTGGGATTCTGGGGGATAGGGGTCGGGGGTCAGCTCTGTAGTTTGGGAGACCTGGGTGCGGGTATCAGCCCTCTGTCAGGGTCCATTGTGTGCTTGGCTTGTCACTTTGCTGGGCCCCAGAAGGGGGCTGAGGAGAACAGACGCTGACCGGAGGGCAGGGAGGGGGCTGGCTTGTCTCCGCTGTTCCTCGCTGCCGACACCTCTGTTCTCTCTCTTGCCAGTGTTTTCTTCCTATGGAAGGATTGAGTCCTGAGCAGCCCTCCTTGGATGACCACTCATCAGCGTGGACCCCAGCCCCGCCCCCCCATCTTCCCTGCACGTGGCAGTGACGTCCATCAGCAGCTAGTCTTGTGCCAAAGCCCCATCCAGAAATGCCTTTGGAGGAGCCTGGGTGCAGGCTTTGCCCCAGCACCGGCAGGCTGAGGCTGTGACCCTCCCTTCCCCCCAGGGCCAGGGCCAGGGTCTGGGCCAGCAAGCATCTCCAGCAGCTACCCAAGCCCTGGCCTCCACCCCGCCACAGCACAGCGCCTGGGGTGGGCGGTGCCAGGCCCTGGCTGGGAGGGAGGGGGGGTTTCCCAGCTTTCCTCCTGCACAAGCCCGAGGGCCCCGGGCTTCTGGAGAGCTGCCACCAAGGAAAGCAGAAAGGGACATCCACAGGCCCCTTGGAAAGGCAGTCACAGTTTCCCCACCCTCTCTCATACTTGTTAAGAAACAAAGTTTTATTATTTTACCAAATGGAGCTTTGGTTACTGGCTTTGTATTTTTCAATAAAGTACGCAGAACACACAGGTGTGGTGCTGGGGGCTCTTTTGAGGGGGGTGGGTAAGGGGCCGGGAGGAGCCTTGAGTGCCCCTACTTGGATGTTCTCAAAGCTGCCCCACGGGCAGGCCAGTGTCACCCGTCTGGGCCCTTCCCCCGCCTAAGAGGAACGTTTTGTTTCTACTTTCTTATCCCAGGGACTAGACTGTCTGTGTTGAGCTCTCCTTGGATTGTCCTGGTATGGGATTCTTGATCATCTGCCTGGTACCAGAGTCTAGCTCAGCTGACTAGGGAGAACGGCCTGGGCGTCGACCTTCCTCCCCTTCAGCCTCCCCTCCAGGGTCAAGCTGAGGCCTTGGCCAGCTTCCACTGTCCTGGCTCAGTCCTTCCACGGCCTCTTCTGGGCAGACCCGTCAGCCCTTCTGAGTTTTCTGAGTAGAAAGCAACAGTGAGGGCCAAGGCCAGCGGGACGAGGTTGGCCGATTTACGTCCCCCACAGGGTGCTGGAGACGTGAGCTCTTGGAGAAAGCGTAAGCAGTGACGGAGAGTGGGGGTGTGGGGCTGGCCCTCTGAATGGGCTCTCCTGTCACTTGGGGCTGGGGGGAGGTCCCTTCCACTGGTGGGCCCCCGCATCCCCAGTGCTCAGCTCAGGGCTCGGTGAGCAGTAGGGCTAAACAAAGCGGTCTCGTCCCGTCCGCTGGCCAGCGTTCCTGGACGTCTAGCAGTTTGAGGGAGAACACAGCCACAAATGAGGCAGAACAGATCAGTTTGGACCTTACTAGCCAACTCGCTTCCACTGGGCTGCCGTTCCAGAAGCGGTGAGGCAAGACTGGTGGAAAACGAACAAAGCCAGATCTCTAGGAACCCCTTAGAGGAGCTGGGGCTCACCCTGCGAGTGGCTCAGGAGGCGGGAGCCTCACTCGCTCTCACTCTCCTGCCTGTCGGCCCTCTCCGTGGTATCAGGATCCGAGCCCCACGAGGACCGGGGCTGGTGTCCAGGTGCCCTCCCAGGGTCACTGACTTCACAATGGCATCCCTGCTCAGAACGTGTCGGTGGCTCTGAAGGGTTGTTATCATCTTCCCCTAGGACTATAACTTTTTTTTTAAAAGGTCAACTTTAAAAGATGCCCATGAAGGGAACTCTCACGGCTTTTTACTGCATCTTCCTAAGCAGGTGTGATCCCAAAAGCGCCCCTGAGCCTTGGTTTTCTCTCATCCCCAGTGCCCAAGAGCTCACTCCTGGCCCTGCCAGGCTGGTGCAGTCAGTGCCCAAGGCCACTATGCTATGGGCGTTCTTGCACAGCGACACTGCTGGGACCCGGGGAGTCACCGCTTAGGAGCCAACTGATGCACCACCCATTTTGTTTCTTAAGAAAAGAGTTTATTGAAAGGATGTGAAAATAGTAATATATGCTTTCAACAATAATAAATTTCCAAAGTATTAACATTATGAAACATTAGGAATCTTCTTGAGAGGCTCAAAGCACACTAAAATCATACCGTGTCCTGTTGCTTTTAGAGTTGGTCAGCACTCAGGAAGGACAAGTCAATCAGAGATACTGAGGACATCTTATGACCCATCGCAACCCCAAACATGTGTACCCGCCGGGAGACTGGGCAGTGGTGGAGGGAAGGCTCTCAAAGCACCAATGCCAGTCTGCCTTTCCTGCTTCCAGCCAGGGCTAGACAACACAGTAAATATTTGGCTTTCTGCAAAGTGAAGTTTTACCACTGTTTCAAACTGTTTGTTTCTAAGAAGACTGCATTCCCAGTCAGCCCTCTTCACAGAGTTTTCTCACAAGCTGAGAAGAGACAGGGCAGCTTGTGGGGAAGAGAACTTTGAAGGAAGCCTTGCATATGCGTGCACTGGATTACACCAAGTCCTTCGGTGCAAAAGATGAAAGTACATATATACATCTTGGCATAGATAATGCATTCTGGAAGCGCGCTCTCAAAGATCACAGCAGAGCACGAACCTGGAGGTCCAGGAAGGACCAGTCCTTGGGTATGTTTTCCTACGGGCTGTGCCTGACTCAAATCTTTACTTAATTAGCCTTCCTGACTGCGAAATCCACACATACCAAAGTAAACGGCTTTTGCTGATTCCTGTTCTTACTGACTGCGTTTCAGTGGAAAAAAAAATACAAAGAAAAAAATCAGAAAGGAAACAGTCATCTCATAAATTAATTCCTCTACGAAACGTTAAGCATGGAGAGAGAAGCTACATTGTACTTACACGTGAAAAATGAGGCGATAAAGCCCTCTTAGCACATTCAGACCCAAGTCTGATGAGTCTGGCTTACTCAAACTATTAATGCACTGCAAACAACTCACAAAAGCTGTAGAAACAGATTATTAATTTACATCCACATACATAATTTCCAGGTCGATTCTACATGGTTTAGTTGACAGCTTGCTTTTTGCAAAGCTCTCCCATCTTGATTGAGGAAGCAGACACAAGGATGAGGGGGCAGGCCGGGTTGGGAGAACCTTGTCCAGCCCCCCCCCCGAGAGCCCCGCCGAGCAGCCGCCGTGGGGAGTGCTGGGGTGCCCTGGCGCCTCTCCCCGCTTCCTGCTGCCAGCTCTGCTGTTCCTTGGGGGCTGGCGGCAGCATGGCCCTGCAGGCCACACACGCCACACAGCTGTGCACGGCTCAGTCGGGCTTTGCGTTAGTACAGATGCTTTCAGCACAGACCCTGTTTCTGAGTCCTCATGAGATATATACAGAAAGAAGCATTTTACAAGCGGAGCAGAATCTGTAAAACCTCTTCGTGTGCTGAAGGCACCATGGTTGCTAGGTGAGGAACGTGGGCAGTGTCTGATCAGCCTCCCAAGGCAACGCTAGCTCGCCCTTCCTGCTGCTTTGGAGGAGGGGGGATGGGGGGACAAGGGAGCTAAGACCTTATCGAGGAGGCCTCAGGCAGCTGGCTGGCCAGAGTGCTGGGGCAAGGGTGGGTCTCAGTCGTGTTTAGGTTCTGGTTGCTTTTTTTTTTTTAAAGTAGAGTGTAAGGTGGGAAGGAAAAGAAAAGAGGCAAGGGACCCACCAGGGCCCCGGGGTGAGCGCCAGCAGTTGCAGCCATGGGCCCAAAGAGAAGTCAAGGCTGCTACTGACTCAGGGCAAGTGGTGGGAAAGAGCCCACCCTGTTCAAGGAACTTCGACAACAAAAACAAATCCCGATCTTTCCAAATGACTACCAAAAATGTCCTTTAATTCTGACCTTTGCAGAAGCATTTCCCCTGACAGTCTTAGGAAAAATAAAGATAAATGAAATGTACAGAGGGGGAAAATGTTTGAGACTCCTCTGCTGAAGGAAGACATCTGGCTGTGACACATTTATTCAAAACATCAAAGAACAGTTTTTTTTTGTTTTATAATCCAAAGGACAGATTAAGTCACACATATCCCCTCTGAATTTTAAATACACTGGTCTATGAAATTTCCATACATGTGGAATTACAAATACGAAGTTATGTAGACTATTGTAATATCATTTTTAACGTCGGTATAGAAAATCACCTTGAATTTGAAACTACAAATGAGCGTGTGTGGATTGTTGATATCATTTAGAAATGCCGACTCATTTTTAATTTTGCTTATTTATAAAACACAAAAGGAAACTGAATTCAAAACATTCAACAAAGTTAATTTGGTTGACAAAAAAAAGATAAATTTTAACCTCTTCCCTTTGGCCAGTGGATAGGAAATAACATGATATCTGGTCATCAGCAGATCAGACAACTGGTATGAGGTACATCACCGTATTCAAAAATATATATATATATATCCTATATATATATTTACAGACACAGACACACACAGATTGGTCGAGTTCTAGGGGTCGAGGGGTTAAGGTAAGAGAAGAACACATTGAAAGGATTTGCACACGGTTCCGCCCAGGAGTTGGGGACCTCGCAGGGCGCTGTCAGCCGCCTAGAACTCCTCTTCCTCCCCAGTGAAGTGGTTCTGCTTTTTCCGGACGTTCCAGTGCAGACACTCTGCCAGGCTCTCAAACCAGTCACTCACAGGGTCCCGGAAACAGATGGAGGGGAGAGGGTAACAAGAGGTAGTGATGCTGATGCTGATACACACACACACACACACACACACACACACAGAGAAAACAAATGTTTGTTATGCTTCAGAGTCTAAGAAAACCAAGCAGGTAACTATTACTGGCACATGCTGACTTAGTGCCAGACTCAAGCTGGCACCTGCAGGCAGGGAGGTCCCTGCCCTCATGCAGCTGACGCTCACTTGCACGCAGGCCAGGCCAGGATGCAGGGTCGGCTGCCCGATGGGGCATCGCAGCTGTTCTCACAACCCTCGAGCCAGTGTGGCCCAGTGTCTGCAGTCCAACGGCCTGCCTGACCTTTAATCCTGCCTCGGCCTCTATGGTCTGTGGTTCTCCACTCAGAACCTCAGTTTCCTTCTCTACCCAATAAGAGGGTGAAACTCAGTGAGTTGACGCACCTGCTCCTGGGGGACAAGCAAGGCTAGAGATGCAGAGATGGCCAAGAGCCAGCCTCATCCTCATGGAGCTCATGGGCTAGGAGTCCCTTTAGAAGAAAGCAGCTCCCTATGCCCTTCTGCTTCGTGGGCTGCGACATTAGTTCATGCCTAATTTATAATGAGTGAACAGAAGCCAGGGGCCCCCAACTGCACAGACAGGCTGCAGTCATGCTGCGTGTGCACAGGCTCTCTGGGGGCCGCTGACCTGCAGCGGGAGGAAGAAGGCACGGCCCAGGGACAGGTCGGAAAATCCAAAACCACCAAAGAGTTCATCTGGCCAGCCCTGACCCCGACTCAAAGCATGGTGGCCTCCACACCTGCTTTTAGGGCTGATGTTTGCCTCCAGAAACCCACATGCAAAGGACGGGGACTGGACAGGACGCCTCCAAGCTCTCAGGGAAGTGCCAATGGTCTTGCAGCAAAATACTCACCTGTCTCCATGGCAGATTTCTTGTCTCTTCCGCCCATCAAATGAAACCCACGCTGTGTTCCTAGCTTCTGGCGACAGTGTGATCTGGAAAAACACCAAGGAGACCCCTGGGAAGCTGATTCTGAACATTTATTATGGGAAGAAGGGACGGCACAAGGCAAGGCCACAGAGAGGATGTGGTGAGGGTGAGAAAGGCCCTGAGCACCCTTTGAGGGTCTGGGCCTGATTCCAGACAGAGAGAGTCGCTGACAATGATGGTGTGAGAGGGCGGCACGATGGAAGCAGAAGTGGTGAGATGATCCTGCCCCTGGCCCTGCCCCTGGCTGGAGGGAGGAGGCCACGCCAGTACTGGAAAAGAAGAGGCATGTCTACATGACACCAGGAAGGGGACAGGAGGGGAAATTCCAAGAACATGAGGTCATGGGGCTAAGTGAGAGGCAGAGCATGTGGCCATCATGTCTGGGGCATCCCAAAAGGACCACAGGGTAGAAGCACTGGCAAGCGGCTGGAATGCGGCCTGCAATAGGGCACCCAGATTCTGTGGGCACAGGCAGTCCGGTAGGCCCCTAATGAAGTGAAGGAGAGAAGGGCAGGTGGGAACACAAGAGGCTCTCAATGTAGCTAAGCTCAGAGGGTCTTGTGGGGGCCGCTGACGGCCTTTACAAGTGCCAGAGTGCTGCGTCTGCCCCCAAAGACTGACCTTGAGCTCCACGCCAGCAGGCACCACGATGGGCCGGAAGGACAGCGAGTGTGGACAGATGGGCGTGATCATGATGGCGGGCACATTGGGATGAATCATGGAGGCTCCTGCAGCAGCGGCGTAGGCTGTGCTCCCAGTTGGCGTGGACACAATCACTCCTGAGGCAAGAAACAAAATGTTTCAAGGACAGTCAGCGGGGCAATGTCCTGTGGGGGGGGAGGTGCCAGGTGGAGGCTTTACCTCCTCTTCACCTGGAAAGGTCAGAGACAGAGAAAGACATGGGACTGAAGAGGACTTTTTAAAAACCAGCCGCCTGGGTGTGTTCCAGCCTCCTGGGTTTCTGTTATTCTGTTATTCCAGTCCTTTTATTGAGGGGATTTGTTCAGTGACGTTTGGATTCAGTCACAGGGCCGCACTTGAGGACCTAGAGGGCCACAGGTGGCCTCAGGTGCCCCACCCCTGCCCTAGGCTCAAGCATCTGAGGTCTACACTCCTGCCTTGCTGGGGGGGGTTCTGAGGGGGTCATATTTTCCATGAGAAAAATTTTGCATCATTCTAAAGTCAATTTAATTCCAGCAGTATTTGCCAGTCTCTGCAACACAGTGTGGCACAGGACCTAGTGGATGGAGGGCTAAGTCTGGAGTGCGTAAGACACAGGTTCCAATCTTCTTTTGATTCAATTCCCCAGGAATAACCCAAGTCAAGGAAAGGCTGCCCCTGCCTGAAGTGGTCACAGGTCCATGGAGGGCCATTCATTCTGCTGTGTAGACACAGTCCGGACACAGATCATGAGGGGCCCCTCCCCCTTAGGCAGAGATTTGGGGCCTTTGGGGCTAGCAGGACTTACCATCCCCCTGGACTGTTGTTATCAGGTGTCCATCTAGATAAACATCAACATTAGAGAGGTATGAGGAGGGACCCCGATCGATCACCACTTCATTTAGAACCTGACAGATAAACACAATATGTGACCCCAGGAGCAACACTGACCAGGAGGCCCCTGTACAGGGGGCCCAGATATCGGCATCAAAGAATCACCAAGTGTCATGGAGGACAAAACCTCCTCGGAGGGGAGGTCAGCTTTGTAGGGAGGAAGTCACAAACTCCTCACAAACACAGCTCTGAGGCATGGCATCCTATGATAGAGACAAGTGTAGCTAAGACTGAGAGCCTGCGTGGGCCTTGGAGATCAGACTCTGGGTTGTCAGGACGCTCACTCCAGGCTTCCTCACCAGTCCCCAGGACAAAACCCCAGCTGGCTGCCATGTTGTGGCGCTCTGGTGGCCTGCTTGGACTCCCTGCGGGCAGGGGTGTTCCTATTTCACCCTGCCCCCTGGAGCCCCCAAAGCAGCTGCTCACGGAGGGAAGGCCGGATGGCGCCTGGACGGACCTGGTAGTACATCATCTGCCTGCCGCTCTCCTTCTCCAGGCTGGGAGGTAGCACTCCGTTCTCATCGATGCCGTTCGGGATCAGGGCTTTCTTTTCCCGGAGCTCCTTGACCACCTTCACCTTGAGCCTGCTTCGGAGAACGATGGCAGCATTTCCTGGGCCAGAGAGGATACGAGCCATCAACAAGAGGAGCGAGCGGGAGGCGTCCCTTACAAACGAGGGCCGGGGCGGGGCACTCTGGGTGCGAGGAGACAGCCTTCCTCTGGAGAAGAGGCAGGAAAGCCCGCTACCCTCTCCCCTCCCCAGCGCAAACCCCAAAGGAAGCCAGGAATGCCACTGGCCTTCACGAAAGCCTGCCCAACCTTACTGACCAGCTCACCTTCTATCACCTGGGTGACTTGGGACTGAAAGTTTTCAAAGTTGAACGGGGTGAGAAAGCCGAGGGATCCTAGGTGGAAGGCCATCACTGGAGGCACACTCCCCTGTCGGTAAATAGGAAGAAGGGTTGTTTGTGCAGATGGGCAGGAGCTTCTCCTCGATTCCAGAACACAGTGAAGGCTATTTATCTAAAGGGGTTTCCAGCATCCACAGCCCATGGGAGGTGAGGGAGCTGCAAACAAGGCTAAGACACCAATTCATCCCAGGCCTCCAACAGTGAGGCTCCAAGGCAACAAGGCGGGGCCCCCACTGGCTGCTCCTACGCATCCATCCTCCTTCTCACAGCTGGAGAACACCTTCCAGCAGGCGCCATCTTGGCCACATCCAGCAATCCTCTCTTCTTCCCCTCTTGTTTCAGGGGAAGAGGGGCCCTGCCTTTGAGGACTGACAGACGCTGGCACCTCTGAGCACATTCAGTTCCTACTGTCTAGGGACTCTTTCCTTTCTGCTTCCATGCTGGCATGCAGGAGAAAGAGGGCCAGGTTCAAATCCTCTCTAACCCCCTCACCATCTGGGTGATGTTGCACTTTCTTGTGCTCCTCAAGTTTGAGCTCTGGTTTCTCCATTTGAGGGGGCTCAGACCAGACCACAAAGCCCTCTGCTTCTCTTTGCTCGCTCCCTCCCTCTCTCTCACACACCCGACACTCCTCTTTCCTTTCAGCTCCAGACTCTTCTGAATTCCTCCCAGCCGATCTATCACTCTATTATTTTTCATCCCCACAGAAGAGCTCTTCCCAACTCTCTTCAAAATCACTCCCTAGAGTTCTCTCTGAAGCACCCCCTCTCCTTTCAAGGACCCCATGCCCCCTTCTCTCCTTCTCCTTGGCCTCTAAATGGGGGCAGCCCCTAAAGCTCAGGCCTCGGCCCTCTGCTCTTCTCTCTTTAATTCAGATTGTCAGCAATCTCATGTACTATGTATGACGAGGACTGCCCAACCCACCATCCTCCTCAGCCTCCTCAGGCCCATGTCTCTGCATTGCATTTTCCTACCCAGGCACATCTGTTCTCAGCCTCCTCAGGCCCATGTCTCTGCGTTGCATTTTCCTACCCAGGCACATCCGTCTGGCGGTGAACTGAGCACCTCTGCCCCCCAGGCTTCCTTATTGCTTCCAGGGGAGCTGTCATCCCCTCCGACAGACTAAAACCTCCACGTCATCTCAGCCTTGTTCTTAATCCTTGTCCCTACATTTGGTCCTTCACAGAATCTTCTTTCCCAAAGTTATTTAAAGCCATCCCTCTATTTCCATCCTTACTGTCTCTTCCTCAGGTCAGGCCCTGACCACCACATACTGGCATTCCTGCAGCGCCCTCTGAACTGGTTTCTGGTCCTCCAGGATTTTCTCTCTCTAATTCCACGTGGATAACACTGAGCCTGAAACTGTCCTGTTCCAAACTCTTCATGTGTCTCCTCCATTGCCCACAAGACAGTCTACATTCCCTTGCCTGGCATTTGAAGCAACCCCCCCCCATGCCCCATCTCTATTACCTGGTGCCCTGGAGACACTCTCTGCTACAGGCAGGACAGCAGCCCCCCAGTCACTCTCAACAATGTGTGCTGCCATGCCTCTGCTTCCCCCAAAACACTGGCATGGAATAATTCTCATTAAAAATTAATATTTCTAAACTTGTTTTGCCTAAAAAACTGTAATATCAACCAAATTTTCCAAGATGTAAAGTACAAGACGGCAAAAAGTGAAAAGAGATTCCGAAGACCTTAAGAAGCATCTACATGAAGCATACATAACGTTCCCTTTTGTGCCTCCCCAAGTTTACCTGGAAAAGGGAAGAAGCGTAAAGCAAGGTCCCGTCTCCTCCCAGGCAGATGATGAAGTCTATCTGATCTGAGATGTCATCGTAATCTGGGAAGCACCAAGAGACACCCGCTTAGGAAGACCAGCTTTCTGGCTCAGATCGCAGGACGCGCAACGGTGAGCGAGCCGTGGGAAGTGCGGCACCGGGGACCTTCAACATCGCCTCAGCCCAGCCCTCAAAGGTGACAGCAATGCCCAGGAATGTCGAGGCCACCCACCCAGGGCCAAGCTGAGAAATGACTTCAAGGCTTCTGGCCCCAGACCCAAACCCTTCCCCATCACGCCACACAGCCTGAGCTACTGCCAACCACGCTCTCTGATAGGGACGACTGTGGAAGGTCAATGAAACCCTCACAATTTTGTGGGATTACCTTCCCTGAAGGTGCAGAACTTCTTCTTCACGGTTCCAAAATGTTCATCGTTCACTATAGCAGGGTCTTCTAAAACTTTTTTTTCCACATAAACGATCATGTTGTTTTCCTAAAGCCAAACAACACGCACAGATCACTTCAGAAACATACCAACGCCCCATCAATCAGGCTCATTACGGAGGTACTTGATTTTACACGGCTCAACAATACTAAGGCCAGAGGAAAAAACATCCCATTCATCAATACCTCGTTGCCCAGAAATAAATAAGTTACTGCTCACTGCAAATCTCTGGTCATGACTGTGTGAGAAGTCTCACAATGCAATGGGATAGTGGGGACAGACTTATGAAGATGCCCACTTGACACTCACCCTCACACTTACACATAGAGATGAACATGAAATTTCTATTTTTAGCTTACAGAGCGATAAAATTGCTTTGGAAACTCCAACTTGTATACATGCTAAACCTTTATGATGGCCACAAGTATGATTTCTTCTTTGGCTTTTCTCTTCCCAAGCAGGTTGGGACAGTCATTTACTCTAGTCTGTGGGTGACAGCTCCCGACCAGCAGACATACCTCCATAAGATATACACAGAGAGCTTTAAAAGGCTGCAGGAGGCTGGCATCTCGTATCTTTTTTATTACAAGGACACTCTTTGGAGATTTGTTCCATGTCAATCGCTGGCTTGCTGGATCCTGAATGTGCCTGCGTGGGAAAAAGAAATCCAACAGTTCATGTGGGGGAAGACAAAGCTTGAAAAAGGACAAATTCACTAAACAAGCAGGAAGAGGAGGATTCTGTGCCTTGGCTTCACTGCTACATTGGCAGTTTAACCAAGACCCCACCTACATCACACCACCTGTACCTGCCTGTACCTGCTTTTTAAATGTCCGTAGTTATAGGGTTAATAGTTAAATGAAATCCAAGACGATAACCTTCTTTAAAACGTCCCCCAGCTCTTGTCCTTACCTCCTGTCCTTTGCCAACAATTCTCTTAGAACTCAGCTCAAAAATCTATCCTCCTCCCTGCCCAACCCCTGAAGGATTCCCTGATTTAACCAAGAAAAAGCTGGCCAGCATCCATAGTCCACTGTCTAAACCGATAAAACTGACTTTCACTTTCCTGGACACGTTCATAAGAGCTCTCATTTACAGACAGAGTCTGCTGTAGACCAAGAGAATTCATTGATGATTCTCTCAGTCTGTGGCTATGCTAATGCTAGAGTCCAAGATCTACACTCCTCTATTAGATGGCAGACTCTCGGAGGGCTGGGATTTTTCCTCACGTGCACAATGAGGGGACTGGACTAGATAGATGCCCCCCGCTATCCCTCGGGGCTCTGAATCACCAGAGGACCCAACGCGTACAACAGGTGGTCCAGTTTTGTCCACTGAACGAAAGCTCAGTGGCTGGAACTGCTGTGCAGAAAAAGGACACGTTCCCAAACCTGATCTGTCCCCATGAGCTCTGCAGCCCAAATCTAACAGCCATTGTTTTAATTTCACCTCGGTGTGTCCAGCTCATATTCTAATCACCTTGTCGGCTCTTTGAGGATAAGACCCCAGCTACCAGCGCTACATGAACAGCATATCCCTTGGCCTCCCAATTACTGCTGGCTAAAGATGACTTTAAGAGGATTTAAACTATGGACTTCCACCTCCTATTTCTCCAGCGCTAATAATAAGCAGTAAAAACTGAAATTCAGGGCACAGTGGCTAGAGCACCAGCCCTGGAGTCAGGAGGACCTGAGTTCAAATTCGGCCTTAGACAACTGACACTTCCTAGCTGTGTAACAATGGGCAAGTCACTTAACCCCACTGCCTAGCAAAACAAACAAAAATGCTCAAATTTATTTTCTTTCCTCAGAGGACAAGCAGTAGGAGGGAAGAGGCATGAATAACCACCACAGAGAAGAGAACCAACTCAAAGCCAATTTCTGTGGAACAATACAGAGGACAGAGTGAGCAAGCTCCCAGGTGACTAATTTCTCTAGTTAGCTGAAGGATCATAAGTACAGGAGCATAACAACAACAATAAAAAGTGCCTAAGAAACACCAAGAGAGATCCCACTGGCTTTAGTGTTATACAGGACAACTGTAAGTACAGGGGCACGCCCTGTTCTGCCTTGGAGGAAGCCCAATTCAGACTCTTCCGACTGTCTCATTAAAGACAAAACTCTGATTTATCAACCTGACAACAGTCATTCTGGCTATTCTAGCAGCACTGATGGAGGGCTCAGATTACATAACACTGACGGTTTCCACAGATTTGCTTGACATTATAACCCAATACTATAAATTACATCTCACCATGTAACTACCAGGATGCAAATGTGTACATCTGTCAAAAGACGGAAGAGATCGTGGAGGCTCACCACCCCTACAACTTTGTATCTATGCTTAGTGCTATTACGCCACAGAAAGGCCATCACCGCTGTGTCCCTGTAAGTACAATGTACCTACAATGTCTGCTCTTATGGGAGAAGGGAAGGTCACTGCCTACAAATGCTGACTCACTCCCAGTTCCAACTTCCATCAGTCTTCAGGCCACTGAGGACAGTGGGCCTCTGGGCACTCACAAGTGAGTCCTGAAGCTTTACAAGTGAGAAAAATCTCCTACTCTTATCCTTATCAATTCTAGCAAAACCTGCAAGCTGACAGAGTACACACTTATTGGCAAACGCCATGCAGTCCTATGTAACAGCCCTTCTATGTGGTGAAGGCATGCCATCAGGGCCTCGAAGAGACTCCTGCTTCTAAGTTTCCCTTTCTCAACTCCCTTCAACTGTGTTTAAAAACACAAAATACAAAACACACTGTACAAAATGTCTGATAAATGTTATCTGAATCAAGACTCCATCAAGTGAGAGCTGAGACATGCTCTGACAGTCTTCAGAAATGACTGATCTTCCAAACTGTAACTATTCCTCACTGATGAAGAGGGTGAAAAAGACAGAACAAGAGTTTCTACCTTTGCTATCAATGTTTACCCAGATGCCCAGAGCACCCATTCTTTTCGCAGTACTCACCATTTCCAGGTATTTTTGTTAATCGAGACGTCATTCATCACATTCTTTATGATCTTCATGGCTTTCTTCCAAAATCACAAATAATTCTTGAAATGTTTCTTGTTTATTTTAAACTAGGCTGCTGCCATTGTCAAAAGAATCGTGTTTCTCTTGGCAGGCTAAGAAAGGTTTACAACAAGCTAACAAAACTGAAAACACCCAAACTCTCCCAGCTATGCATTGAACTAACATTAACTTAACCTCCAAATACTAAAATTGTAGTTCCAAAGCACAATACTAAGTCATCTTTTGTAGATTTTTAAAATACTAAGCCAAAAAAGCCACCTCAAATTAAAATTCCCTAAAACCAGTATCCCTCATGTTATGTTACTCATAATATAATCCTTTCTCCTAATGACCCACCCCAAAGAAAGTCTTTCAGATCGCTTCTAATCAGCACCATGGAAAAAATCATGGGATTTTTAGCTCTTAAATAAGCTAGCCATAAGAGACTAATCTACTCCTGTTTCTTATTAACCTACCAACACCACCAAAAAAGCCAAAGCAAACCCTGTTGGCGCTAGCAAACCTTATCTTAGTCTCTGAACAACCACCTAAAACTGCTCTCCTTCACAGGTGTCTGCAGGCTCTGGGCTCCAGCTCTTTGGCACACTCAGCCTCAGCAGCACTGAGCGTCCCCTGCCCTGCCCACCTTCTACACACTCAGTCTAGTGTGAAAGCCAGTGGATTCTCTCACAGATCTAGCTCAGCCCCATGGGAGGGGTTCTTACCACAATCAGGCGGAGTCTGATGGGAGCACAGCCCTCCTCTTAGCCAACAGGCTCAAAACAGTGTAAGCAAGGCCAAAGTGATTTAAGGGAGAACTCCTCAGGACTGATTTCCTTAGGAATTCAACATAGGATTTCTCATTACAGTAGTATTTACATATTTAAATTGTCAGGATATTTCAGACAGCTGATTATTAAGGTGTTAAGAAGCAATGTATTGAAATGAGAAAAGCAAAACCAGATTTGTTTCATTGTGCTAGAAGTGAAAAGTTATCCCCACTGTGGGGGCCTGTGGGCATACTGGGAACACACCTGGGCAGGTGTAGCTGTTCAGGGCTCTCACACACCCTTTATTAGCAATGTCTTCAGGCAAATGACACAGGCCTGCAGTGGGAAGGAGAGGAAGTAAACCCATGAAGGGCAAAGATGACAGACAGCTGGAGGACATTTGCATGGGAAGGGCAGGGAAAAGGCCCAGTCATTCTTTCCAATAGGCCCTAGGAGGGCAAACTTGCAAAGCGGCACCTTATTCCACAGCAACCTGGCTGGCCATGACCACTTCAGACTACAAAGGACCTCAAAGCCCACACTCTTCAGCCCCTCAAGATCTGTGTTTCTAATGTACCTTCCCCACTCAGCGTTTCTGACAAAACGCAGGAATGAGTCGGTCTTTTCTAGCAATCTTTCACATCCAAGCTCTTGTGTGTTTACAGAGAAGCTCACGTCTACCTCGTGGGGATAATCTTTCTCTCAGGCACAACGGATCAGCAGCAAACCCAACGAGCGAGCTGAAACAAATCCGAGCGTTTATTCCACCAATGTGTGCTTGCCACTTGCCATGTGAAAGCTTCTGTTCCAGGTATTGCTCAACACACACGGTGAAGAAGGGTAAAGGCCATTTCCACAGGAGATGGGGAAGAAGGGTTAGTTAAAAATTAATCCTGGGGATGATAAAAGTACCAGTGTCAATCAGTCTCCTTACATTGAAGGGAAAAAAATGAAATGAAAAGAGTCATTGCTGTTCAGTCACAGCTGACTTTTCCTGATCCCACTTGGGATTTTCTTGGCAGAGATACTGAAGTGGTTTGCCATTTCTTTTTCATTTTGCAGATGAGGAAACTGAGGCCAACAGGGGGAAGTGACTTGCCCAAAGTCACCCAGCTAGTGAATGTCTGAGGCTGGATTTGAACTCAGGTTCTCCTGACTCCATGACCAGCACTCTATCCATTGAACCACCCAGCTGCCCTTGAAAGAGCAATTATTTTTTGATTGGGACATGTCAGGAAACATCACAACTTCTCATACAGTTACACTCTCCTCAGTTCTCTGATACCCTCCTTTAAATGAGGAAGTACTCCCACTCTTCTCAGAAAGTTACAAAAGCAACAACAACGTTGCAGAATATCTTATCTTCCAAAGATGAGGAGGAAGGAGGTTTAAAAAAAGAACTATTAATAACTTAAAAAATTTTTTTTACATATACACTGAATATGGGAATACTCACATGAAATCCAACATTTATTTCCTACCCTGCCTCCATCCATTTTTCCTGAAACCTAAGAAATAGAATTAGAGACTTGGGGATTATCTAGCCAGCTTAATACCCATGAAAGAGGTTGCACTTGGTATCTGGAGTGTGTCTACCTCCACATAAAGGGATGCTACTGACTGTATCACGTTAATCCTCACCAAGAACACCTGTTTTTTCTCTCCTAATTAATACATGCCCATTTAAAGCCACTCCACACACTAGACCAAAGATCAAAATCTAGTTCACTTGCTCCTAAACAAATGTCCCAAAGGGAAGATCCTGGAATCAGACTTCTAGGTGACATGGCAGCAGTTAAACCATGTTAAGACATCCTCCCAATGGGCACTAACAGATAGCCTGTATCAGATTGCTCCCCATCTTGGGGAGGGAGGTAGGGAGGGAGGGGGAGAAAAATTTAAAACTCAAAAGCCTGTGGAAGTGATTGTTGATAATTCAAAATAAATTGATTTAAAAAAAAAAAGGTACACACCTGATTTAAGGTGTTTCAGAGTTTCCCTAAGTGTCTTTGGTTACAGAGAGAACTCAATGACCATCAATTTATTGATAACTGGCTAGCCTAATTAATAAAATGATTACTAATTACTTGTTAAAAAAAACCCCCAAACACAACAGATACAGGGTAGGCCCCCCCCCATCGCTGCCTCATGAGATGCCTCAAACACCAATCTCTACACAACTCATACATCTATCTCTGCTCCCCATTTGTCCTTCCGGGGCTATTTCCCACTCCTTCTGGCTCTCTCTCAGCAGGGTTTGGGTAAAGAGGCTCTATTGGGCTGCCTAGCCTCCTTCCTGCCTCCTCTGGCTGCCCTGACCCTGCTCTCTCCATGGTCCACCTCCCACTTGTGTGACCATTCCTTCTCCCTCCTGATTCCTTCTTCTCCTGAACCTGGGGAGCTATCCCACAAAGCCTTGGCCTCTTCTCACCTTTCTCTATACCCTAAGTCTTCAATGATCAGCTGCATGCAAATGACTCCCAAATCCACAGCCCCAGGTCCATATTTCTAAATGCCTACTGGACACCATCCTACAGATGACAGATCCCCACCTGAACGCATCATCTTTCCTCTAAAACCCACTGGCCTCTCCTTATCTCCTCTGCTAATGGTACCACAAGTCTTCTAGCCAGCCAGGCCAAACCCTTGGACTCCTCCTTGCCAGACCCCTCTTCCTCATTTTCTATGTTCAATCAGTCAACAAGTCCTGTCAAAGCTGTCACCACCACGTCTCAGTGTATACTCCTCCCTCTTCCTTTCCACTGTCACCACTCTCCTTCAGTCCGGAACAGCTCACCTGGAACACCTTAATGGACTCTGTCTCTAGGCCCCTTTCCTCTTGACAGTCTTGCCAAAATATAGGTCTGATCCCCTCAACTCCTTTTCTCAAAACCTCATTATCTTTTACAACCAGTGTCTCTGATAAGGGCCTCATTTCTAAAATATATGGAGAACTGAGTCAAATTTATAAGAATAGAAGTCATTCCCCAATTGACAAATGGTCAAAGAATATGCACAGGCAGTTTTCAGAGGAATAAATTAAAGCCATTTATAGTCACATGAAAAAATGCTCTAAATCACTATTGATTAGAGAAATGCAAATCAAAACAACTCTGAGCTACCACATCACACCCGTCAGATTGGCTAACATGACAAAACAGGACAAAGATAAATGTTGGAGAAGGTGTGGGAAAGTTGGAACACTAATACATTGTTGGTGGAATTGTGAACTGATCCAACCATTCTGGAGAGCAATTTGAAACTATGCTCAAACAGCTATAAAATTGTGTATACCCTTTGATCCAGCAATAGCACTTCCAGGTCTGCAACCTAAAGAGATCCTAAAAATGGGGAAAGGACCCACAGATACACAAAAATTTTTACAGCAGCTCTTTTTGTGATGGCAAAGAATTGGAAATTGTGGGGATGCCCATCAACTAGGCAATGGCTGAACAAGTTGTGGTACATGAATGTCATGGAATACTATTGTGCTATAAGAAATGATGAGCAGGCTGACTTCAGAAAAACCTGGGAAGACTTGTGTGGTCTGATGCTGAGTGAAGTGAGCAGAACCAGGAGAACACTGTACACAATAACAGCCACGTTGTGCGATGACTGACTGATGGACTTGACTCTTCTCAGCAATGCAAGGATCTAAGACAACTCCAAAAGACTCATGATGGAAAATGCTCCACATCCAGAGAAAGAACTCGGGAGTCTGACTGCAGATGAAAGCACATTATTTGCTCTCCTTTTCTTTTGTTGTTTTGTTTTATTGCTTGATTCTCATGGTTCTTCCCATTAGTTCTAATTGTTCTTTATATCACGACTGATGGGAAAATATGCTTACTATGGATATATAAGTAGAGCCTACATCAGATTGTACGCCATCTTGGGGGAGGAGAGGGGGAGAAAATTTAAAACTCACACTCTTATGAAGTGAATGCTGAAAACTAAAAATAAATAGATAATTTATTTTAAAAAAAACCTCATCATCTACCAAATAAAATAGGAATACGTTAGTTTGGCATTCAGGGCCTTCACTGGTCTGATTCTAACCTACTTTCTTTGGCTCCAGGCAAACTGGACTATTCTCCCATTAGGTTGAATAAGGTAGCCTCCACATGCCTGCTATGATCTCCCCTAGCTCCTCTATTGCCAGTTATAGGAATCTGAAGCCTCATTAGATTCCTGCCCTCCCTCTCCAGCTAGAACAGATTTCTCTCAGAAGTCCATCTGATGAGACCTTTGCATTTCATCTTCTAAGTTCCCTGTGAACACCTCAATCCCCTAATGGGGTATAATTTCCTTAAGGACAAAGACTGAGTTACTTTTCCTATTTTTGTACCTAACACATAGCCTTTTGCACACTGGTAACTTTAATTGAATACATATTAAATTTTCAACATGAAAAAGCTAAACCCTAAATATTTGTTGTCAAGCAAAAAGAAAAGTCAACTTACATGATGGTCTTGGGGTTCTGCAGCATACAAGCCTTTGGTCCAAAAGTGGTCACTGGGCACGGCCCATGCAAAGAACGGGTCCTCCTTTTGGAGGAAAAGGGAGAAAAGCCAACATTTCTGATTAGTACCTTAATATAAAGATTTGAAGAAACAGCTATTTGGGGAAAAAAAGAAGAAATTATGCTAACTTTAAAAAGATGCAAAAAGAGACTAAAATCCCCATCCTCTGAAGAGACCCGCCCCACCGCAATAGTCACAGACAACAAAATATTCATAGCAGCATTTTTTGTGGTAGAAAAGAACTGGAAACTAAGCAGCTGCACTTCTAATGGACGATTTCTCAGCAAACTGTGGCACATGAAAAGTGACGGCACATCACTGTGCTGGAAGAGCAGAAAGCATGGGAAGATTTCTACGGCAGCTGATGCAAAATGAAATAAGCAGGGCCAGCAAAACACATGCAACAAAACAACATCGATGTGAACACAGAAGGACCAAAAAGCGGCCTGAAAGCTGCAAGAAGACCCTCTCCCTCACTCCTCCTCAGAGAGGAGGGACCAGCGACGTGCAATATGGTATAAGTGACTTTTCGGATATGTTGGCTTTGCAGAAGTTTTATTCTTTATGGTAAAGGTAGGAGAGGGATACAGCAGGAAATGTAGGTGATGTCAAAACAAAATATCAATAAAAATTATTTTTGAAAATTCAAAATTCAATCTGAACTACAGCACACTGTCCACGGAGAAAGGGATCACACAGCGCCCCATGTCCTCAATAGAAGCAGGCCTAGGTTTGAGCCTTGTGCTGTTATTCCCAGGGGCCAATGTACTGCCATCCTGAAAAAGTCACTACAAGAGCTTGCGATGTCCCCGCAAACCAAGTCTGTGTCTACCTCTAGAGAACACCCACCAGACCTGCAGCAGAGACTCTGCATTTTATAACTCAAAAAGGAAGGTGGGCAGAAAGGTCCAACTCTGAGCCAAGGAAGCAGCTCTGACCACATTAGGCTTCTGCTAACTCAAGAGCAAGCACTGACCTATGGTGGTGACCTCTGCCTGGAAGACGATTTGCTAACTGCAGCGTTAGGGAATCCATGACACAAAGCCTTCTCTTCTCTTGGCCTACCCTTTGGCTGGTCCCCAGATGAGCTAAGGATGTCACTGAAACTCTAGGAGTCCTTCCTGATGAGAAGTGCTACTCACCTCTTGAAAAAGAAGTAATAGGGGCAGCTAGGTGGCACAGTGGATCAAGCACCGGCCCTTGAGTCAAGAGGACCTGAGTTCAAATCTGGTCTCAGACCAGACACTTGACACTTACTAGCTGTGTGACCCTGGGCAAGCCATTTAACCCCAATTGCCTCGCCAGAAAAAAAAAAAGAGAGGGAAGTAATAGTCTCAAACATATCAGGGTGAGGTAGAGAGAGAATACATACTTTGATTAATTGGAAAAATAAAATATTCTAGGAATTCAGCTATTTAGCAAATTAAAGATTCACATCTTTCCCTCAACATACTTGGGATAAGAGCACAGCAGCGTTCTTTACCATCAATTTTACTACTGTTCTCACTAGGAAATAGCATTTTTAGAATAAGGTAATTGGGGCACTTATGAATTCCTGAAAAAATCTAATGATTATCCTTTTATACACTAAAATACTATCACAAAATAAACAGAAGAATATAAAGCATAATTATAGAAGGATGCCAATATACTGAATATTCTGGCCAAGGAAAAAAATCTTATTATTCTTTTCTGAGTACAATTCTTTACCAGGTAGCTCTGTGAAAGCGTCTAAATTTACTGCTACATTTCTTTAGGTTTTATTTTATCATTTTCTAAAGAAAAAAAAATTAAACTTTTAATCTGAAAAATGTGACCAACTCCCCACCCTGAAGTCACATCTACTTACTCACCAAGGGAGAAAGAACTATATTTATGCTAAGAAATCACCTAACTACTGCTAAAAGCGTCACCTCTAGCTGGTATTTATCAGGCACCTTCCAAATTAAGGTCTACATTTTTGTATATCAACATTATATGTGAAAATAAGGAGAATAATAATAATAGCTCAACGTTACAAAGCACTGTGAAACATGCAAGCATTTGACTCTCTAACATACATATATATATATAAAATTTTTCCCCCAAGAAAATATCTGTGTGTGTGTGCGCGCGTGTGTGCACGTACGTGCGTGTGTTTGTGTGTGTGTATATATGCATGTGTGAAAAATACTGTATCCTAACTCCAATACTTGTCCAGTGTGATCCTGGACAAGTCATTTACTCACCTCAGTGTCAGTTTCATTAACTATAAAATAGGAATAATACTACCTACCTGTAAGCAGGTACAAGAAAAGTTCTCTGTAAACCTTCAAGTCTTATGTAAATATGTCAACATAGCTGGATCCTAATTGGTGAGAAGAACGAGTCCCCTCCAGTGGTCATATTATTCAAATTCACACTGTACATCACCATTGGGCTGGAGCCAATTACACTCTAATGAAGTGGATTCATTATTCACACTAACCAAGACTTAGCTGTGCCAATATACACTTATGTGTATACACTTATGTATATCTTAGACACGTGAAACAGACAATGAGTTGGGCCTAGAATTGAACAGGAAGATAAGTTCTTTCAACGACCCCAGGCTTCTTCCTGAAACAAAGGCTTATTTCTATAACACTAATATTCATACTGCGGACAGCCACGTGTCCTCCTGCTGTCTGCGGCACTTCGGGAATGCAGAATGAAACGTTGGGTGGATCGTCCATGACAAATGCATGGAAAGACATGGAGGACACTCCACAATGAGCAGGTGGCAATCTATGTCCCTGGAGAGAGCATCAGACCCGTGAGACCATGACCCTCAAGTAGCAGCTGGCCAGCAGAGCTTAAGTGACTTTCTAAAGATTCCCTTGCAGTTGGTGACAGAACAGGGTCTGGAGCTTGGTGGCCAGGCTTTCTGGACAAACATACACACTCTCACCTCGTTTTGTGCAATCTGCCCTGACCATCACACCTAAGCCTTCTGTCACCCCTAGCCAGCCCCAGAGAGCTCAGCAGCTCCAATGTCAAACACTTTCCGTTGTAGTTCTAATTGAAATTAGAGTTCCATTGATTCGTGCAAGGACCACTGGGGGACAGAGTTCAGCTTTAAAATTTCTGGGGTTATAGTTAGTAAAGAAAAGTTGTCATGTCATGTTTTAAACGAAATGATCTTCAAATTTCCCATAACATTTTAGAAGCATTTAATTGAAGAGAACTTTCAATACAGAATAAATGGACAGACATTATGTTAAAGTTACTTCGGTTTTGTGTGATACTAAAATTTAATTTCTATAGTCAAATGCCAATTATCCACATTAATGGAAGGGACAGTGGTATGGGTGACACAAATAAGGAATAATCCAAGTGACATTTTCCAAAGGGGAAGCAATTTCTTATAGCAAATTAGCCTAAATATTTTTCTTAAGTCCATATTAAAATTAATCTGCATTATAGCGGGGGATCGCTTAAGGCTGTGCAATAGCAGGGAAGAGGTAGTCCCCAATGAAGATATTAATGTATAGAGTTTACCAAGTCAGGATCATCAGACACCACGTGTGGGAACACGAGCACAAACTGACATATGTGTGACCTTCCCATATGAGGCAACTTGACATTGATACTAATCAGGTACCGCAGGGAGCCCAATGCCACTGTTTACTGACGATCCAGAGAGTGGACTGCAATGTCCCATGGGACAGGACCTCTGTGAGATGCAAGCACTCATACTGAATGGCCCTGAGAGGTGGGTTCCCTTCCCTAAGTCCCTTTAACAGTGCAAACACTATGGGATGCCCATGCCTGCATGTGTCACATTGAGCCAATTCTCTGAGAAAGTCCAAACTCACCCATTTTTCCTGGTCCCACCAGCCAGACAACGCCAATCACCTAGACAGAAGATGAGGAGCCGGCCCTCTTCATGGATAGGTACTTTACCTGAATTCTTTTGTGCTCCCCAGGGCAGGTGAGGCAGATAAACTCCGAGACTTGGCTCGACCCCGGATGGGATTCCCATAGCTCCAGTCCTCATCTCCGTGACATGCTGAACAGCGGTAAGAGGCTGAATCTGGATTCAACTCTTTGCTCAGACTGATTTTTTCTTGTTCCATCTCCACAGTGGATAAAAGGGAACTTCCGTCAGGAAGACACTGACGCCTTAAAGCGAAATTAAATGATAAATTCCATGGACTTATGATTCAGGTTCAATTAATCAGTTAACTTAGCTTATCACAATATACCTGTCTTTGATTATCTTTGCTTCTTCTGATCTACATACCCGTTTGAACGACACAACTTCAATGACAGCTTCGAGTTCAGCCAAAATCCAACAAAATAGATAGACTTTCTTTTCTCCTCTGCCTTTCTTTAACTACTCCTATATCATCAGCTCAATGCAAACTTCCTTTGGAACTCTTAAACCAGATTACAGATAGTTCAGAGGCATGTCAGGGCTCCGTAATGAAGGCATGGGCTACAGTGGAATGTTTTCACTGAGGTAAGGGGTGCTACAAATCTAGTTATTGATCATTTTCATAAATTAAGAACTCCTTACTGCTTATAAGAACACACACATTCAGATAGACTAAGAATGAATATTCTAGAAGGGATGGCTATTCTGATTTAGATCATGTAGATGACTTCAGGTCAAAACAAAATCCAAACCCCCAACCTCATCATGGTGTGGAGGTGACCCTGGGTTTATGAAGGTCATGCCACGGGGAGACAGCTTCTGGCAGCTTTTACTAAGCTGGAAGGACTTCAAGAATGGTCCTGGAGACAGTCCGGGTTTCCTAAGCCTGGCTCCTTTCCTGCAGCCTATGAGCATTCCTCATCCTTAAAAACCCTTCCTTTGACTCGAAAATAGCAGCCAACACCCACTGCCCGGAGACCTGGGGGACTCCTCCACTGGAGACTTTCTTCCAAACTGACCCATATGCTGTGGCTCTCATCCCTTTCACAGCCAAAGCCCTAGGAAAACTGTCTACATTCATGATAGTACAGTATCTCTCTCTCTCTCTCTCTCTCACACACACACACACACACACACACACCCTCTTTCCTGTTCTGAACTCTCCTTCCACTGCCAAGGCTAAGGGCAGGATTCAGTTCACATTTATTTTTTAAAGGTTTACTAGTTTTTACATTTCTAAATTTACCAAATTTATATTTCTTCCATTTCTAAATATCCTTTCTCCTTCCCTCTCTCCCTCCTCAGAAATCCATCCCTTTAACAAACAAAAAGGAAAAAACCAAATCAGCTCTGCTAAGCAGTGTTCCCCCCGCCCAGGTCTGCCGGCACCTGCCCGGCTCCACACCATCCCTGCCCGCCCCCAGAAGGCCCATTTGTTCTGTCTTCTTTAGGGCCAGATAAGGCTTTGGTGTCCAGGCAGGTTTTCCTGTTGTCCTTGCCATTTCTGCAGTCACAGCATACACTATGGTCCTGGTCCTGGTTCTGCTTCCTTCATCTACAAGCCTTCCCCTGGTTTTGTATAGTCCTCATCATTGTGATTTCTTACAGTGAAATAACATTCCATGATATTCCGGTGCCATAATGCATTTATCCATTCCCCAAATGATGGGTGACTTTTGTTTTCAATACATACATTTTGGTGTAATGGGCCTTTTTCTATCTTGAGGAACATGCCTGGCTCCCACTCACTTCTCAGCCCCTTGAGAAACTGTCCCGGCCAACCTCTGCTGACGGCAGAAGCCTCCTTGGTTGTCCTGCTCCCTGAGATCTCTGCAGCCTCTCACGCTGTTGACTGCTCCACCTCCTGCACACTTTCTCCTCCTTCCTGAGTTTCACTACCCTGTTTTCTCATGGTTCTCCCAACTTCCTTTTCAGGATCTCTGCAATCTCACATCTCTATCAGCCTGCTTGACTTTTCCACTCAAATGTCCCAGAAGCATTTCAAACTTAACCTGTCAAGTATCACCTGCTTCTCTTCTTAACAACCCTATTTCTAGTGAGGACACCATTACTTTCTAGTTGCTCACATTTGCAATCTTGGAGTCATCTTTCACGCCTTCCTCTGCATCCCTGCCCCACTCCCCCCAATTCCAATCAGTCACTGGGTCTTGTTGACTCATCTCCACAATCCTTCTGATCCACACCCTCTTCTCTACTTACACCACAACCACACTAGTGCAAGCTCTCATTGCCTCTCTAATGGACTAGACCAAGGGTTGGTAAACTACAGTCCCAGCTAAGGACTCTCAGGGGCCACAAAAACAGGCTGTAGTTGGCCTTCCAATTCCTGGCCTAGCCCAACAGCTTAGTAGATCACTCTTCTCTCCAATGTATCCCTCCCCCAGCTACCAAAGTGACTCCAGACCCAGGCCCAGGCCTGACCATGTCACTTTCCTGCTCCAGAAGCTTCAAAGCCTCCCCACTGTTCCTAGGAGAGAATAAAGACAAACCCCTCTGCTGGGAACGACCCTTCATGGTCTGGTAACAGCTTACTTTTCCAGGTAGATTATAAAGTTCTTCCCCTTACACATCTATTTTCTAAAATATCTGGCCTAATGGCTGTTCCTTATGCACAATATTCCAAATCTCCTGCCTCTCTGTATTTGCAGCCCGCTGAACAAAAAATACAAAATGGCCCTAAGTCCTACGGAGTTGCCCATCTACTGTGGCAATGACAGTGGCAGAGTGTGTTAAATATCAGTTTTTAGATCATCCAAAAACTTTTTACTGGTGCTTTTTCCCATTACAAAAAAGCAAAACAAATTACAGCATTGGCCATGTCAAAAACAAGAAGCTTCAACCTGTACTGAACCCATCACCTCTCTAACGGGCAACATGATTCATCTCTGGCATTGGGGTTCATTACTGTTTAAACGTGAGATCCCTGTCCAATGACCAACGACTAGATGCAGTACTCAAGCCTAGCAATCTTGACATTCTTGCCAGAAACAAAATGAGAATGGAAGGAGTGTTCGTGGGCTCTCTCAGGAAAGGAAAATAAAGCACCAAAGCACGTCATGGGTATTTGGCCATCCTCAGCTTCAACGATCATAGGGGAAAAAACCATCATGAAGTATATATACACCAGCACCTTTTGTAGAGGATAAAGAAGTAGAGAAATTACATGAAAAACTCAGTAAGACCACCAAATTAAATCAAAATAAAATCTTCAGTGACTCCATGCAACATTAGACAAAGACAGTTTAAAAAAAATTGGAAAACATGATTCAGGAGAAAGGAATGAGAGAAGCCCAAAACTTACAGACTATATAAAATCTTTAAATCTATTTATCATGAATACTCTGAGAAAAGAACCAAAAAGTGCTAGATATGTAAGCTTCAAATAACATCCCAAGAAGTGAAAGGGATATTTTAATTGAGAATAATTCTTGAGTAATTTTTTTAAAGTAAAATTTTTATATCTTTTTTTAATATTACCAAAACTTCTTCTAGAATCCTTCCTGCTCCCACCATAACAAATTATTCTTTAAGGTACAACAGCTGTGACTTGGGCAAGGGGAGCACTCCCCCCACTCTCTTCTCCAGGGCCAGGCTCGTTCCTTGTCACTGGCAGCATTATTTTGTCTCGTTCTTTCCATTTACACTGTTGCAGTCATTTCCTTAGCTTTGCTTACTCCCTGGGCATCAGATTATGAAAATCTTTTCATTCTTCTTTATGGTTGTTGAATTGTCTACAACTCTTGGTGACTTCATTTGGGGTTTTCCTGGCAAAGATACTGAATGGTTTGCCATCTCCTTCTCGCTCATTTTTTCCCCCCTATAGATCAGGAAACTGAGGCCAACAGGGCTAAGTGACTTGCCTGGGGTCACACAGCTAATAAGTGTCTGAGGCTGGATTTGAACTTGAGAAGATGAGTCTCCCTGATCTAGACCCCAAAGTCTGTCCACTGTACCACCCTGCTGCCTATGTTTGCCTAGCTGCCATAAAAAGATGTTTGAGTAACCTTAGGGTACTTGATTCCACAGAGCAAAATAACCAAGAAGGTGTTTCTCAGACATCCCTCAAGCTTAGATAGGATTCCCTGAAGGCTCTCACACCAGGGATGAGCTTGTCTAAAGATTCTGAGTTGGCCACAATCACAGAGTAAAAGCAGCAGAGTCCCAGGCTGAAAGAGGCATTCCATACAGATGGTGAAGGCCTCCAGATACTGCTCTCTGGAGATGGTACTTAGCTGGTTACATCAAGCTTCAGAAAAACTGAGAGGCTCCTGGGTAATACACATGACCATTTGAAAGAATCTGGCCTGACCAACCATACAGGAAAAACAAGGGAAATGAAAAATGCCTTTTATCCAGGCTATGATATGCAGTTAGATAAGGAAAACCTACACAACTCATCCATCAGCAGTTAGACAGACACTACCAAGTGACATGAGAAATGGAAAATAAATTGGACTCAGAATTAAACAGGGAGAGAAAAGGAGGCTGAAGTATCTTTGGAAAACTGCACAATTCTTGTACTGACACAAGCAAAGATCCATCTTTTCAACAGAAACATTCAATTGGAATTACACAGTTCAGTCAGGGCACAACGCTTCAGAAGAAAAGAAAATGGGAAATGGAGAGGCACATGGTGAGTGTGAATATACTATTAACACATTACAAATAAAGAATTATGAAAGAGAAGATTAAAAGATGTAAAACAACACACAACCCATAAGTGAAAAAGGCAGCAAGAGTGAGAGAGAAGGGCAGAATGTGTGTGCTCCGCTGGTATCCCCAGGCATGGGGGAAGACCTGGGTGGGAGTAGCATAGGGATGGATGGGTTACAACCTGTATTGCTAGAAAGAAGACCCCCAATGATGAGATCACAGAGAGATTAGATATGTGTAAAGTACTGACATCACCACTGAGGATCCATAAATAAAAGCTGTCCTTGCCCAATAAGGACATAAAGACATGAAAAGTAGGCCTGTGCTTACAGAGCTAGCATTTTATTGGGGGGGGGAGGGAATAAGATGTTAAGTGTGATACAAGGTAGTGGGTGAAAAGGGCAAAGAAGAGATCAAAGTGCTCCAAGAATAGGGAAGAGGGAGGGAACACTGACAAATAAGACAAACTGCCCTGCGTGCTCCTCAAGGGTGCTTCCTTAGCTTCCTATTGCCTTTTCAGTCTTTCTTAAAGTACTCTTCTGGAGAATTATAAAAGGTTGTTCCAAGTTCAGGAAATAGCAATTCATGATTCTTTACAAAGAGGGAATGAAACAATGACAGCAGATGACTACATCTGATACATATCTTATGGCCAATGGTATTCTAACAACTGTATAACCTCCTAAATAAATACCTCAACAACGAACAAGCAGATGACAGAAACTGTCCCTAAAGGGTTAGCAAACAAGAAAATTATTTAACTCACTGTAACATAAAGCATTTATTACCAAAAATAATCAAACAAGACAGTCTCTACCCCCAAAGAGTTTCCATTCTTGCATAAGACAACACAAAGTGGAACTGGAAGGGTGAGGGGAGGCAAAGTGATTGGCAAGGAAGTAAAGCAGTCTAGACAGTGAGCAGAGCTGGGAGAGTGAGTGCCCCCTCCTGAAATGACAACACTGCTGCCGCTGTTCGGTCGGGTCCAACTCTTCTTGATCCTCTTTGGGGTTTTCTTGGCAGAGATACTGGAGTGCTTTGGCATTTCCTTCTCCAGCTCATTTGACAGAGGAGGAAACTGAGGCCAACAGGGCTAAGTGACTTGCCCAGGGTCACCCAGCTAGGAAGTGTCCAAAGCCGGATTTGAACTCAGGAAGAGGAGTGTTCCTCACTGCAGGCCTGTCACTCATATCTACTGTACTACCTAGCTGCCCAATAATAATTACTAAGCTATTTATATACTGGGTTTGAAGCAAACTGCAGAACTGTCTCATTTCTTCAGTGGCTCAAACTAAATGGAGAAAATTCCCTACGCAAAAGTCTGGCCTGAGAATGACACACTCCAAAACCTGAGCCCCTGGCTTTGTTCTGCCCTTAAGATTTTCAGTAAAAAATACATTTTACAAATGTGTTAAGGCCAGCTTTCCAAAATATTTGAAATAAAACATATCAAAGTATTTTTAATTAATCTTTACTTGACAAGAAAAAGTTTCCATCTCTCATTTTGGTAATAAGCACTTAGAAATAAGGAAGGAAAATGGATTTTGCTTACAAATGAATATTCAAATTCAAAAATAGAAAGCACAGAAGACATTTTCTATTTTGCCAAATTTGACATAAATCCAATCACAGACTTATTCAAAGTACGTCTTGCCACACAGAACCAAACAGCTGATAAATGACAGGTTACTGCTAAGGGCAGAAACCAAAACTTTCAAAGACATATTCCAGATGTTAAAGAAGGTTACTTTATCAAGTTTATATGAATAAGGGGTTTCTTTTTGCAGCATGACTAACCAACACTTGAATGGAGTGGCATTTTGAATGTGCATCATAAAAAGACATTGCTACCCAAACTTACAAAATTTATAGTCTAAAGGACAAATGCTGGAAAAATGTGACAATGCCACTTAATTCACAACTGTTCTTGGACCTCTTACGCCTCCACAGCCTTCAAAAAAAGCTGCTGGGTTAGCCCTGAGGGAGAATGTGCTCCGAAGGCTAATATGTCTTTTCATTTTGTCAAAATGATCTGATGGAATAATTCCAGCAATGTTTCCCATACTTTCTAATAAACGTAGCAAGGCACTTGGGGCACTCAGGATTCACAAACAAAGCTGCAAGCGTGTGACTCACGTACATTGTTCCTTTT